GTTTTTAAAATATATACATATATATCTATATATATATATATTTTCATTTAGATATCCTTGTTACCCCTGGGGAGTGTTCTTCAAAGCTAGAAATCATTTTTCTGAGGAAAGGATTCACTGACATTTGATGCATAGTGAGGAGAGCTGGTCTGTCTACTAGCCTTGTCCTAACTGTCCGGTGTTTCCAGCTCTTTCACCTGGAGCACCATCACACTTACTGCACACCTTAAAAAAAAACTGCCACTGCTTTCTGCTGAGTGCAGAGGAATCTAGTTTTGAAGCGCATATCTGCAAAATTCCCTCCCTTTCTCAGAACCCTCAGGGGAGATGTGCACACTCCCTTTCTAGCCTTTTCACCTGTCCATATACAGGCTCCAACCACCAGTTCCATGCTCTTCATATTTCTGCACCTTCTTCAGTCTCTCAGATTATCAAAGATACTATGAAACATCAGGGCCTTTGTGGGGGGCATTTCACAGCCTGGCAGGACACAACAGTTAAATATCCTTAAGATGGTGTCTACTTGACGGAGAGCCAGATGAATTTCTATCTCCTGATTCCTGGAGTCCCATAAATTAGAAAGGGGCTGGGCCAACATCATTCTCACACAGATCCCCCTGTTGTGCAACTTGCAGTGCCAGTATTTCAGCTGTACCTGAAACCACCCCAATCCCAAAGAGCACAAGAGCAGAGCAGGATCCGCCTAGAGAGGAACAGAAACAAGGAGCAGTACCGTGATGTTACTGCCAAGGGATGTAAGCAAAGAAACAGAGAGGTACTCAGGAAAGTCTTCACCTTACCAGCTGGGCATGCTGCCTAGCAGGTGGCAACATGGCAAGGCATTCACTCCCAACCCTTTTATTGGGTATCATGAAATGAACCTGTGGTAGGAGAGACATTGCTGTCTTCTGCCAGGGGTATGACTGCAGAGAAGGTGGTTCATGCTGTGGACTACATGGCTTTCAGGGCAGAGGCTCTGCTGGATGGGAGAGGAGACACTGCGGATTGATCACAGGGAAATGTCTGCAAAAGCAGGACTGGCCATGGCTTGCCCGAATCAATCCTCCCATGATGATTCTGTTAATTCTTCTCATTTCCTGCTTTTCTCTGTTGCCTGGAGCTGTCCCTGCCAGTTTCTTTTCCCTGCCAGCACCTACAGAGATTATATGATCCCATTCCATCCTCCCTGTTCTGCTCTCCTGAAACACTGGGCAGGGGCATCTCTGTGCAAGCAAGTCCTAAGGAAGTGGTCAAATAACAACTGATCCCCTCCCCCAGAGCCTGCTGCACCATGATAAATTCCCCCGGCATGCTGACTGCTTACCCTTGAAAGTGGCAGAGTCACTGCCCTGGGTACACAGCATTTTCCTGGTCACAGGTCACTGCTGTAAATTGCAACGTTGGGAAGACCTGGGTGTACACTGGATTTACACTCCTGCAGCATCCCTGGGAGAAGATAGCAGCATGCCCTGTCCTTCAGACAGCGTGTCTGGGAATCGCTGCTCTGAAGCACTTTCTCCTCCTCTGCACTCAAGAACCTGGGTGAAATAGTCTGAAAAAACAGTCATGGGATGGGTGTAGAAGTCCGCTCCAGACACCCCAGTAGCATTGCTCCACAGCCAGAGACTTAGTGTGTCAAGAGCTGTGCAGATTTCTCCCAAAGCCAGCTCTCCCCTATCCTCCCACTCCATACTTCCTTTCACTTATCTCTTCTCCCATGTCATGTCACCAGCAGCAGGCAGTGCCTGGAGCTCTGCTGCCCTTCACAGAGGAGCTGCTCCTGGACAGAGCTGTTTCTTGGTTTTGCCGCCAGGTTGCCATGAGCTCACCCTATCCCAAGAGCCTTGTCCCACTTTCGAGCAGTGGCCCAGCTCAACAGATAACTTGATTTCTCTCTTCTCCTAGCTGACGCTCACTGAGGCAGACTTAAACAATCATGAAGATCTCTGCATTAAAACAGCTAATACAATTCTGTGCAGACACTTGATTCAGTGACAGAAAAATAGCCCAGCAGCATCGTGTCACACCCTTGATATTCCAGCATGTTTTAGCAGATAGAGCATGGGATCCACAGAAGAACAATGCCCTTTCGGAGTGGTTGCTGGGCAATGGCCTGTGAGAGTCCAGTACTCTCTGAGCAGGTTCTTTCTGATATTCCGTACATACAGAGAGTGCAAGGTTTAATAGAACAAGTTTATTTTGAAGATACTTGATGTTGCAAGGGATTTTGAATTACCAGCGTGGTTCCACAATGTACTGAAATCACAAATACGCTTACACATTTCAATCACAATATTGAGGGGATTGCCTTTATGCATCTCTATAATATGCATCCCTAGTCACCAGAAATGAATTCATGGGATGAAGCTGGCACAAGTCCATTTCTCCCTTCAAAATTCCTTTGTTGTTCAGGTTTTATACCCTATGTTGGACTGAGCCACAAATACACTTCTCTTGTGCTGATCTGGCTAATCTCAGGGAGATTTTTGCATTCATTTCATCAACTCAGAAAGAAATGCTTACACCAGTCAATCCACTCAACAGTTATAGCTGCTTCTCTAACACTAAGGTTATCCTTTGGTGCCCTGTGTTTTGGGATAAAATCAGTTCTCTGCAACATCTGTTACGAGTGAATTACGTGCTACATGTTTCCTCGGCACCTCACCCTTTGCCCATCTCTTCTTCCATGGTAGGAATTATTGGTACCTCATAGAGTGGCAAGAACCAACATTTTTCTTTTCACAAGACAGCATCAAAGAAAAGTAACTTAAGAAAGAAATGAACAACACATAGATAAGATATCAAATACTTTGGGAATGGAAAGTAAAGGCAGATGATACAGTTATTGGTGCTGATAGTGTAGCCACTGAGTCAGTCTCCTCCTGGCATCTTTGAGCTCCTTGTTCTTCAAGCTGTAGATAAGGGGGTTCACTGTTGGAGGCACCACTGAGTACATAACAGCCAACACCAGCACCAGAACTGGTTGGGAAATGGAAGGGGGCTTCAGGTGGGCAAACATGATAGTGCTGAGAAACAGGGAGACCACGGTCAGGTGAGGGAGGCACGTGGAAAAGGCTTTGTGCCGTCCCTGCTCAGAGGGGATCCTCAGCACAGCTCTGAAGATCTGCACATAGGACACCACAATGAAGATGAAACACCCAAGCATTAACCAGGCACTAAGCACAATAGCTCCAGATTTCCTGAGGTAGGAGCCTGTGCAGCAGAGCTTGAGGAGCTGAGGAATTTCACAGAAGAACTGATCCAGGACATTTCTTTGACAGAATGGTAGAGAAAATATATTAGCAGTGTGCAGGACAGCACAGAGAAAACCACTGCCCCAGGCGGCTGCTGCCATTTTGACACAAGCACTGCTGCCCAGGAGGGTGGCATAGTGCAGGGGTCTGCAGATGGCAACAAAGCGGTCATAGGCCATGACGGTGAGAAGAAAGTACTCAGACAAAATGAAAAACACAAGAAAAAAGATTTGGGTAGCACATCCCAAGTAGGAAATGCCCCTGGTGTCCCACAGCAAATTGAACAAGGATTTGGGGACAGAGGTGGAGATAGTGCCAAGATCAAGGAAGGAGAGGTTGAGAAGGAAGAAGTACATGGGGGTGTGGAGGCGGCAGTCACAGGCTACTGCCGTGATGTATAGGCCATTCCCTAGTAGGGCAGCCACGTAGATGCCCAGGAACAGTGAGAAGTGCAAGAGCTGCAGCTCCCGCGTTTCTGAGAATGCCAGGAGAAGGAACTCATTGAAGGAGCTTCTGTTGAACATTTGCTTCTTTTGGGCATGAGGACTGTCCAAGGAGAGAAAGACATTGACAAGTTAGGACAGACTTCTCTGAGCAGTGCTTTCTTATTCTTACACCTCTGCCCTCCCTGCATAAGCAGATATTACCCCTTCCCATCTTTGCTTTTGGTCAAATGCCAAGCTGCCTTCAGAGTCAAATGGTTAAATGTCCTGTGCATGCAGTGTCCCGAAGAGAGAGGTGGCTCATTCCAGACAGTCCCTCTCACCCCACAGTTCATTACCCAGAACCCCACATGTCAAAGGAGGACGTGGGCACCTTATTGGCAAGGACAGATCTACATGGCACATGCCACAACTGCCTTGTCTGAACTGCATCTGAATCCCCCTTCCCAGAGACTCCAAGGGAAAGGACAAGAGCAACACAGACAGGTGGGGAGACGTGGAGCAATGGCATGATATTACTGCCAAGGGAGGCAGGGACACAAACATGAAGGCACTCTGGTGTTTCTCCTCCTCTGGCTAAGTCCAAAGAAATAACTCATGAACTAGACTCCACAGGCCAGAGGGCTGTTCTGGGTAGGAGAGCAGAAGAGGTGCTGAAATTTGTAGTTTCTCCCCACACTTGGACTCTGCTGTTTGGAGCTGTCCCTGCAGCAACCAGTGTCTCTGTTCCCACCTCTCTCCCTTTTCAGTGCTCAAAGACCACGTCCCACCCACTCGGCCCTCAGAACTGCTCTGAGTCACAGCTCTGGACATTTCTGTGTGAATACACTAGATTCATCCCCCTGCAGTGTCCCTGGCAGAACGTAGCAGGACACCCTTTCCTTCTGAGCATGTGGTAGTGAATTACAACTGGAAACATCTCCTCCTACTCCATACTGCAGCAGTTTGGAGGGTGATCCCAGTCACAGTCATGGAATGCAGTGAGTTTAGAAGACTCCTCCAGTGTGTTCTGTAGCATTCATCTACAACCACATATTCACCATGCAAAAGGCTACAAAGATTTCTCCCCCAAGGAGCTCTCTTCCACCCTCGTGCTCCAGACTGCCTTTCACGTTTCTCTGTCTTCTGCTACCTTATGTGAGCAAGAGCAGGCAGTGCCTGGAGCAATAATACTTTTTGCCAAGGAGCCGTTCTCCCATGAGAGAGAAGTAGTAATATGTTTTACTGAGGTAAGATACAGTGATTTTAAATAGTTCCATCATAAATAGGACAATTATTTAAAATTGAACAATGGGAAGGTTTACTCACTTGTGCACTGCTTGAAGAACAGGGTCAGATGAAAGTTTTAAGGAGACCCTCCTGTTGAATCATCAGTTTCAGAATGGACCACCTTGCTTTCCAAACTCCTTGTCAGATGAACCTGGGGCTGGCTGGATCCAGTCCTAGTCTCAGACGTGGTCAACAGTTTACATCTAAAAGATTATGTGCCCAATTAATGAGAGATACAACTAAGGAAAGTTTCAAAGGTTTGCAAAACTTCAACATGATATTAGTCACTTACTGAAGATCTGTCACGGGTAAGGAATCTTTCAAACTTGAGGAGTATCCTTGAGAGGTGTCCCTGCTCAAGAGGAGGTTCTGCAGTACACTCCACTGCTGTGCAGGAGAGCGCAATGTGCTCTGGGCTGCCCATGTTATTTGTGGGGGGGAGGAGGAAAAGATAATTGACTCATAGTCATATTTGCATACTAGATGGTTTTTACTTGGTACATACTCAATTAGCTCCTGCCTATGTACTGTTTATGGAGTGGTCAGGTTGAGAGTTGGAGGTAGAAGAGCACATGAGGAGGAGATGGGGGAGGAGGAGCACACGATCACATGGAGCTGCCTCTTGGCAGTGCTGCCAGGTTTCCATGAGCTCCCTCCATCCCAGGAGCCTGGCAGAAACCCTGCTAAAGGCATGAATTTCTCTTCCTGCTGGGAAGCAATGTCACCCTATGTTTTTTCTCTGAACAGTGCAGAGAGACTGATTCCAACATTGCAATTTGTCAAACTGGGGGATGGTTAACTACAAGAGGTGGAAATGCCCCACTCTGGAGATGCCTCTTCCCATCTCTTAACTACAGTGGACCTCTAAACAGAAACAAGAAGGGAACTCATTTTCCCAGGGTTCAGGTGTTTCTTCAGATAGTCAATCTGTACATGCCATGCCAGTTTATAAACTCTTGGGGTGGAGCAGGATTCAGCTCGCTCTCACAAACTCCACAAACACACAGGCAATCGGATTCCACTTGCCCAAGCCGAGGGTACACAACAGAGATGTCTGCATACAAACTCCTTGTCCAAGTTCCTATTATAAATCAGTGGAAATGGAAGCTATGAGCCAATTGCCCACACAAAAATATCTGGTGACCTTTGAAGAGACAAGCTGCTCCCAGATTTGTGCCAGTGTTTGTTTGCTTTGATGGAACAAGTGTGAGACCTTCATCCTTTTAGAGCATCACATGGGGGCCAGGTGTGGAATTTCCTTGGCTATCTGCAATTGTTCCAGAGACCTATTGCTACCACTATAGCTCCATGCACTACCAAATCGAGTCACAGGGAGACCCCGACAGTGCAAATACCTCATGTAATTCAGTGCAGGCACTTGATTCACTAACATAGAAATAGGTCCTCAGGGCCATGTCTAATGTCTGGATCAGTGCCCCTGGGCATCCCAGGTTACCAGCCTGTGCCCAAACAACTACATTCTGTCATTGTCTTTAGGCAAGGTCATTCCCATCTACAGCCAAGCATGCTGCCTACCTAAGAGGCACCTCACAGCAAGGCCTGCAGTATAGTTTCTACATTCTCAAACTCTTCTAGTTCTACACCTG